CTAAACACTCAGTTACCATAGTGATTCTGTGAATTAATTTCAGTCTATGCAAATGAGGGAAAGGGGCATTTTAACAGTTTTACCTTTCATTACGATAATGCAACAACTATGCCAGTAAATGCTGTTCATGAATTGGAGAAATACACAACAAAATTGTAACAGTCTTGGTTAAACAGATTGTAAAATGTATTAGAGTTTGCTTGTTCTGTGTTAGAGGTGGTCTTGAATCTAACTATATTTTCTATTCACACGATTTGAGTAAAAAATCAGATCATGTTTATTTAGCTCACATCAATCATACACCACCTCAAGCCTCCAGTGGATGGCACTGGTACTGAAATTTTTATAAACATTTTCCAATTTATTCACTCTTACTGCTCTATTACATTGTAGATTCTGATAGACTCCTGTATATGGAACACAATTTTCAGTTGGGTGATATAATACACTGTCAGGAGCTTAATCACACATACTTGTGGCAATACCTATAAAGAATAACAATAGAGAAGTTGTCAGATGTTTGAGAGAACTTACTGTCACAACTGAAACTGGTCTATTGGATGGATATTCTATAGGAGCATTATGTAACTAATTAATTTAGACATATTATATATTAAATATCCTATGTGTGTTGCGTCACTCTAGAAAATAATACTACAGTACTACTAATTATAATAGAAAGTATAATAATTGTTGGATCTGTAGTTGAGAGTGTAAGTCAGTGGTCTGTAGAATCATGCCTCTGGCTTCTTCCACCTAGACTGTCTGACAACCTCTAAGAGGCTTGCCTTTCATGAACACAGCTGGAATGTTTGGTTAGTCTAGAAAAAAAGTCTGGTTTGCAAAACAATAGAGACACAGCAGCATACTGTACTTATAGATCACTGCTGCAATCCATCCATCCATTTTCTAACTGCATTTTACAATTCAGAGTCATGGGGGAACTGGAAGCAACAGGCACAAGGCAGGGCACACCTTGGACAGGACACCAGTCAATTGCAAGCCAGACACACACTCATACCCTGGGCCAATTAATCTACCAGTATGTCTTTGTATTGAAGGAGGAAACCAAAGCATCTGGAGGAAACCCAAACTCAAACACGGGGATAACATACAAACTCCATGTAGTCAACTTCTTCAACTATCTATATTGACATTTAATACATGTTAAATTTATATTGCTTTAGATTTTTGTATTTTTTTCCATAACTGATGGACATTTTGTCATAAACCTCTAGTTATTTAGGTAGACAATGTATGGCTATTCACTCTCTTGTAGATAGTGCTTTAGCTTGACACATCAAGTACAGCGAAACCGATCTCTGGCTTTTCAGTTTCTGTTTTGTCATCTTAGGAATTTCACAGAAAAGAGGTGTTGGTTCTATTTTTTTTTCAACCTTGACCCAACATCTCCTTAATATCACTTTATCTTGCCTGCAGTGTGAAAGCTAGTGATGAAATATACAGACTATATTGATCTTACTACATTGCTACACATACAGTATATTGTGTGCTCCTTACATTTCTTCTGGTATGTAATGAATTTTTGACATATCTCAGTGCAGGTGGCTTTACTTTTGAGAAACTCATCCCAAAGCTACTAAGACAATGCCAATAGCCTGCTTAAATGCAGCCACTTCTGTTACAGGCTTATTCTTCCAGATGTGGTTATTGACTTTAATAGCTCAGCTAGCCATGACCTTCCTGAAATAAAGAGCTTAATTTAAAATGAAGAGGGATAGATGACAGGGATCAGCAAAGATACTGAAAAAAAAAATAGGTGAAATGATCAGACTAGAAGAAAAGGAGGAAGGCTGTTGAAGTGAGACCCATATACTGTATGTAAGAACTATACATTTCAGCAAAGTAAATAGTGCAAAGTCAAGCAGTCATGTTATATTTCAATATATTTCAATGTTTCCTTTATTTTTCTCCATAGTTTTGTAAGTTTCTGTATTTGAAGTGACCTCAGAGCATACAAGTCATAACATGTCAATATTAATGAAGCTGGCCCGGAGTAACAATACAATGTTTCCAGATCCTTGAGGAAACATTGCTGATTCATCTGAACATATTTTGAAACAGTATAACATATTTGAAAAAAAAGGTATTTTCACCTTAAGCCTATTTTTCTCTTTTTTGGTATTTCTTACTATTTCATGGGTAACCTAGAGTATCTAAAGGTCTTCTGATCTTGCACTGTATTCATATAAACTAAACGAAAAGGGCCCTCAAATTAGCATTTCAAATGAATACAAAAACTGAAATGAATTACACTACACACCAATACGAATGAATAAAGCAAGAATAATACAAATGAATAAGGAAGAATTCCCCCTAAACAATTTCTGCAGATTCATATTTAAATGTTAAGTTGAAGACAGAGATTTGGCTAGCCAAAATGTAAAATATTCTCCTAGTACTTTGTTGCAGAATCTGATTTTTAAGCATGTTTAGTTTTGCCATATTTTATGTACTGAATGTGTGAACATTTCCATTTTTAAATTTGGAATCACCAATTAATTTTATTTCTCTGCCCCTCCACTTTAGAATCACCAATTCTTCATCAGCTCGGCCACCCACCATGATCTTGACATCAGAACAAGGAGAAGAAGGTGACTGCTCTCCTCCAGTGCACCTGCTCTGGCACTTTTAACCTGCTTGCAAGGTCAACAGTACCTTTAAGGAGACTTGAGAACGCAAGCCTTACTGACTACCCCAGAATTGTGCTCCATCCTGTCCACAGCTGGTTAGTGACACAGTACAGGTTCAAACATGAGATTCTTGACACAAAGGTATTCTACTTGGCAAAGTTGCTTGGAAGTCTGTGGGCTTTACATTATCAAGCGGAATGTAATGTAAAATACAAGTTTTTGGTTGGTACATATTTAGGAGCACAACCGACATTATTTTAGTATGTCAACGTGTGTTCCTTACATTGCTAAAACAAACAATACTGCTGTGGTTGTTCTGTGGTCTGCTAGTAAGATAACAGTAAAGTCACACTTTATGTAGTTTCATTGCAGCACTGGAAGTTTCCTGATAAAGTAGTGCAATTAATGTAGTTCACGTACATCGGGGTGGATCAAAATGGCCATACATCATTGTAAAAGCCTCTTAAATCATATAAGAGGATTGTAGAGCTTTGTGGTTCCTTCTGGACTGGTCACAGGGATTCAGAGACATTAAGAATGAGAGGTAGCTTTAAGATTCACCAGAGCTTATCTCATTTAAAACAACACCTACCTGATCCAAAAGCTGTTCTAAATCATAATAATTTCTAGCGTAATTTTTCTAAAGTTATATGTATCATAAGCAAACCCCTCTTTTTGCATTTTGTCTTATGCATCCCTCTTCCACCACATCCCCACCTTTGCTGCTAAACCCTCTGTTAAATTATTAACAATTATTCATTTTTTCTACTTAATAAACCATTGCATCAAACATTAAACTTGTACATACAAACCCATTTGTTCTGCGGAACAAAAAAACATTAATCACTAAAACGCAATTAAACTTGAATTAATAACTTACCAATCGACTACCATGAATTAAACTTAACATTCTCTGTCATTATCATATAGCTAGAAAACAAGTTTTGCTTTCAATAAAATTTCTATAACATTAAAGTTAGTTATGACTTTTAAAGATAAAAATGTGGCTCGACACATGCATTTTTAAAAGTGCAAGGAAAGCACAAAACTGAACAAGCGTGTTTATGGCTCAATTGCTTTTTACAAGATTTACCTCAGACTGCTGAGGGAGTTAGAAACACTGCAGGACCTGACTGGAATTATGTTGTGCTGGATGTTTATTGTGTTGTTTGTTTATTCTGCTGAATGGATTCTCAGACTGAGGTGAAATAAATCTGCCACTTTGATTTACCTCTAAAGTGTGCGGGTTTACACATTATGGTTCCGGATTGCACCATTCATTTCATAGCCCATAAGAACACTCACACTGTACTGTGGCAATGATCCCATGAGGCCTATTATGATATTCTAATTTCTAACAACCCCATACTTACAATTGATCAAAATCCTATTCACAAGTCCTTGAAAAAAAAAAGAAAACCCTCTGCAGCATGCACCTTTAAGCATCCTTTTTCTTCTTTTTGCAGTAATCTGAAGGATTTTTCTTTCATTTTTGAACGACAGACTAAACCTTTATTGATTATTCCACAGGCTCAGAGATGTCGACAAAAGGGATTTTTATAAAGCATAAGTCCACTGCCTCCCACCTGAGTTTAACACCACGACACCATTCCTAATCTCTCCCTTTTGAAGAGGACCCTCACCCTAAAATACCTACAATAACTCTACTTCCCACCCTTAATTTAGTCCAGGATTTAATAATGGATTTGCACTAGTCCAAACAAATCTATAATACTGGGGTGAAGGTTAGAGGTAGTGGGATTTAAGTTTACAATTTGTTTTAAATCTAGGTTAAACCAGCTTGGAAATCTCACAATAAACAAACACTCTATAATCTATTAAATCTTTAACTATGATTTTAACCCCAAATAACATTTTCTTTCACGGATGAAAAAGTGACTGAATTATTTTTGTGAGAAGTATTCCTGAGATTAATTTGAGTAACTCTCCAAAGTTGAAAAAAATAATTCATATAATTAATCAAATAATTCTGTTCCTCGTAATTTAAGGTAAGCAAGGTAAAAAAAAACAACAACGTTTTACTACACCACAAAACCAGTAATCTCAAACTTTTTAAAAACAAAAGGGTTGTTTAAAAAATATTAAATCGTTTTCACAGATACAGTATCTGCTACCAGACATCCGTAACAGTGCCCCTACAACAGTCTTGAAACTCCAGCACATGGGCGAATAGGAAGTGCTATCGTGGATTTAATACAGACCACAACTCCGCCTACCTTAGCCAAAGTTCAGCCATGACAGTACATTGTGATTGCTGGTAGGCTTATACAAGTGTCAATCAACTGGGTGACCGTCATGGTCACCTATTACGGCAGTGTTGCATCAGTTTCCAACATCCGGGAGACGTAAATTGTACTGACAAGCAGGAACATACTCTGGTTCTTTTAAGAGACATTTATACATTTAGTGCATAAAACAGGAGAATTTCCCCGCTAAGAAGATAATTCAGAACATGGCTGAAGAAAACGTGACTCAGCAGATGAAGGAATTGCATGTAGACGAGGGAAAGAAGGTAAACAGTGAGATACAGATAGTGTGACACTTTCAACTCCATGGGGTCTCGCAGTTGTACTGTATATGTGAAATTGTCAAATATGCATAGTTCATTCGAAACCTGCAGAATTATTACAGTTGGAAGGAAAATGTAAATCAAACGACGAAAGATGCTTCTCTTTAATGCTTTGGTTTATGAAAATTAAAAGTGGTCAGTAATTCTGACTTTTTATTTTTCATGCAGCAGGTACTCAAATTAGAGCTTGAATAGAGAAGAAATTGTAGCAAATCGTTTAAAACATAGTTATTAAATATGTATACACATTTGTCTTAAAGTTATAATATTTGTGCTATTTGTGTGCAACCTGGGGCCTTAACCTCACCTAACAATCGACAACAAAAGTAACAGTAATCTTTTATATTAATAACCATGTCTTTCAAGATGCATCATATCCCAGGGCACTTTACAGCATCACATAAAAAAAGAAAAAGTCATTAAAAGTCATTTTCATGTATTCCCTTCTTCGGGTTAAGCTTTAGAAAGTTTGTATTTCCAGGAAAGAATATTCACAATAAATCATAAAATCGCTCCAGAGGTCAGTAAATCTTAAGAGACCGGCTACTGGGTGTCTGGTTTTATTTTTATATTGTACGATTTCTCTGTTGTGGGAATCAAGAAGACACCATGTCTCTTTTTGTAAAAGATACAATAGCCTGTTTGAATTGTATTCTAAAAGTCTACTTTTTTCCCCCCAATCCTGTAATATCAATATAATCACTTAGAATATACATGCAGAAAAATCCCGAGCGTTTTTCTTGGAATGCAGGGGCGCGAGACTAAGAACTGATGGTAAAAATATTTACTAGCAGAAAAAGGACATAGGAAATACATAATTGTAAAATGCAAGCATTTTCTTCCCAGTAACTCTGTAGCTGAATGCCCTTGCTGTCTGCTTGGGCTGGGAGGAATCCTGCATTGCAATGGGTGTTTGCTTCATATTGTCCCTTTTTAGCTGAGGTAGCTTAAATACAAAGACTGTTGCAATGCATACTTATTTACTGTTACTAAAGTATGACATACCATTTCAGGGTGGCGAAGAGGGAAAATGCAACAAAGAACGAGGAAAGAAAAAGACTAAAGAAGGTGGTGACTCTAATGGCAGGGCTGAGGTGAGTAATAATGACGTCTGTGTGGCCGAATTTCTGTTTTTGAGCTGGCAAACTCCAGTGAAATAAGTGGCCAATTATTAGATAAGCCTCTGTTTAGTATTTCTAGAACTGGTTTTGGAGAATAAACAGCAACCTGAAGGTTTCTTAAAGGTGAATTCTGAAAGACAAAGTCATTTCCCCCCAAAAAAAACTGCTTCACCTTGAGTTAGGCCACCTCACATCACATCCTTCACAGAAGTCTCGAAATCAGCTTTCCGTCTATGTGCTTAATTGTTCTAATAAAGTAATCTGTGTGGCAAAAGAGCATGAATTGTTGCCTCGACTCAGCAAGCTTGAGGTCTTCACACACTGGTTCTAATTTGTTGCTTGGTATTCGTTGCCAGAAGATTTGTGTATCAAGTATGCTGTATCGAAATTCTGTTTATGTTCAGAATTGCTTGTTCTGGTTGTTCCAACAGTGAGGAATATGTAATCATTGTTGCTAAAAGATCAAAACATGACATTAGTAGTGTCTACGTGAGAAATGAAAACAGAAGCATAAACGGCATAAAGATATTGGGTATTTAAGGGCATGAGTAGTTCAGTTTTAGCAACTAGCAGAGCCACATACAGTATATACAAACCTTTTTAACAAAGCTACTGGTAGTATTAGCAGTTGTTTATTGTGTCGTGCTCTTTAAGGAAAACATCTTTCCTACTTAAAGGTAGATCAGAAAACACACTACAGCAAGTAAATGGTTGCAAAACTAATTTTGGCACACCCTAGTGTATGCAAATTTCCATAATTTAAAGGCATTTAAAATTACCAGCTGTACAAGCTCAGAACCCAGCCTAGTCTATTAGCCTCTCACCAGGCTATAACAATATAATTCATTTTTAAGGAAACACCAATAAAAACAAGGTACAATTTTGCTCCCAAAATTAAATTAAATTATCTTTTTTCTATGGAATATTGGTCCAGTTTATTACAGTTATTAAATGAAAGTATACAGGTTATTTGTGTGCAAAAAAGCACTACAAATTAGGGCTGTCAAATGTGATGCACCCTTAGATCAAGCTTTTTTCAATTCCAAAATTAGGCTAACTCAGTTGTGGGTTGCAGAGTGTGTGTACCAGGAGCAAAAAGATGGTAAAATTGGTTTACAAAGTAAAACTGAATTTATACTCTGCCAATGGATGCAGGTAAGGTCTAGTGCAGACCTACCTTTAAATGCACTTTACTAATAAAATGCACTTTAAATGCACTTACTAATAAGAGGCCCTTTCATAAAATATTAGGCTTTTGAATGTTAGTTTACTGATCCGAGAATTGCCTCCTATTTTCATTTCTATTCATGTTCAGTTGGGTAGCAGCTTTGTACAGCTGTGCAGCTGTGTACGTTGGCTGCAAAGGAGCAAGTAAAGGTCAATTCAACACTGGAAAAACAGAAAAGAAACAACATTTCATCTGTGGAGCCTGCAGAGTCCACTGTAGAAGGCTGTACAGCCAAAACACTTTCTCTTTTCTGTTTTTCAGTATGGAATTAATGTTGATCTTTTTTTCTTCTTTTAATTTGACTTTCATTTTAAAATTCCCATTGATTTTTTGTAATACTAACTCCATTATTATTAATTGGGATATTAACTGAAGAAGTTTTTTCTGAAATATATTTGCACCTCTTTTTCTCTTTGGCTTTGTAGTTACATCCTTGGCCTAAATATATAGAGGAGCGTTTGGCACTCTACAATAAGCTGAAAGAGGAGCATGATGCCCTAATGGTGGAAAAAGCAGCGAAAGAACGTAAGCCCATTAAAGTGACCCTTCCTGACGGAAAGGTGGTTGAGGCAGAGTCATGGAAAACCACGCCTTATCAAATTGCTTCTGGCATCAGGTAGGCCTGCATGATCTTTCGCATCCAAAAGTTCCTCACAGATTTCAGAAAGGTTCGAAACCAGCACTGCCAGACAGTTTTCTGGCTTTTTAGAGTTAAATTTCTGAACTTTGTACAGCCTGCCTTGCAATTTAAAGCTTCCCGCATCGGTCAGCGGCTCTGATAAAGTAAAAGGACACTTTATCACTTTCAAATCTGTGGTCCTAATAAAGCGTTTGAGTGGAGGGACAGTCTTTGCAGTGTTTCTCAGCAAGACGAATGTTAAATTTTCCTTTACTATACTTCCTTCAGTTTAAGGAAGTGCGTTGCCGCTACCAATGAAAAAAATCCTGTGATCTCATAATTGTGAGAAAGTTCTTTGTAATTACAAGATAGTACATTCTCGTGTAATTTATGTGATCATAAATTCGATAGTGGAATTGTCATACTATACCAACATTATCGTTAGCTGACTTTTGGTTTTAAGCAGTTGAAACAATTCCACGGAACACTTGTCCTTGTTTAAGGATATGTGTGAGTGTCCTCATGGTTAGAACTGTGTTCATGTTAGTTCAAGTTCATGTTACAAAGTGTAACATTTCATTTTAATAAACCCCAGTGAAAAGTACATTGGTCCACATTCTGTAGTGTTGCCCATTATCACATCGTAACAGGTTGTTCATACACTGAAATGATCAACGCTATCTTATAATAATGAGGTTCAGGAATGTTTTTCTTCCTTGATGGCAGCAACGTGCTTCTGTATCAATCTGTAAGTACCATGATTAAGCTTTAAGAAAGCTCGCTCGTGGATGACAGCTAAAGGTGATTATTAGTCAATAGAAAAGCCTTTCCTGGTTAAGTAAAAATGCTCTGCAGTCTGAAAAATATTATTTAATTATATTAATTATACCAATTACTGGTGCACAAAAAGCCCAGAAAATATGAGCACACTTCAGACACCTGAGTGTCTGTAACAGATTAGCTTTTTTAGAAAAAACAAAATGGTCAGACCACTTCATCTTGTGAATATGAGCTTCATCTATCTGCAATGTAATTTTGTACGTAATCGATGAATGGAAAATTAGCTATTCCCATATACCATGTTTAATGCCTCTCTTTTGAAAAATCTCTTTTAATGACTTTAATTGGCCATGCATAGTTCAGACAGAAGTTGGAAAATATGTAATATTTTGTGATGTACGCCTTTTGCAAAGGTTATTCTTGGCCAGTGTTCTTCACATAAGCATTGCGTGGATGAAATCAGTATCCAAGCAAACCATCTTCCAGGAGTATCTCATATAAATTGTATTCCAGGACTGCTTGGGTTATCCACACAGTATAATACAAGATTGGTATTTTGCCAATACTGTACCTTAATGATCAATGATTTTTGTAAGTTTAGTCTGAGTTTGTCTGCTATATCTTATCTCACATAAAGAAATCAGTGTGGGGAGTACCAAGTTGCTGAAGTTTTCCAGTGCCCCAAAACAAAAGTTTCTTTTGTAAGTCTTTATTTAAAAAAAACAATGGAATGTTCTAGATTTAGATTTACTAGAGCTCTAAATCATTTGTGTTAGTGCTCCACCTTTTCCTAATAGGATTGACAAGTTATCTGTGAGCTGTGGAGAAACTAGATTGGTTTTGAGTTGCCATTCATTTCTCTAGTACCTGTATATTCTGTGTGCTGCATACAAGTAATTATAAACAAATACACAAGTAGGTATAAACAAAGAGGTTCTGTAATTATAGCACTGCTGAATTGTTGTGCATTGATTACGTTTGACCTTCTCAAAAGGTTGGTTTTCAGGAAGTTTTTTTTTTTACAGCCAAGGTCTAGCTGACAACACTGTGATAGCGAAAGTTAACAATGAGGTCTGGGACCTGGACAGGCCTCTGGAGAGTGATTGTAGCTTGCAGCTGCTCAAGTTTGACGATGAAGAAGCACAAGCTGTAAGTATTTCCAGTACTTCTGCTTACAGTTAACTACAGCATCTGTGTGAGAAAGTAGAAAATAACATCACCTAATACACACTTTGTACTTTAAGTTCAAGCACTTATGTTAATAATTGGTTCTGTTAACAGAACCACTGCCCTAATTTTGAGAATTTCTAAAATGTTATTATTGTTGGGTAAAATGTTAGAGAGCATTCCATTAAAACCCTTAAGTCACTGGTCCTGAAAGCTGTGTTGTGAATCTTAATTTGTGCTTTGTGTGCTTCTTTAGTTTGTATAGGGGAACTATTACTTAACTCGGAAGTTGTTTCTTTGGCATTAACCATAACAGTCCTGCTTTAAAAAGAAGGTGGAAATTGATTACATTATTTAGCCAAGCGCTTTTGTTCTGTTTACTGTCCTTCTTCAGGTTTACTGGCACTCAAGCGCTCACATCATGGGTGAAGCTATGGAGAGGGTCTATGGAGGCTGCCTGTGTTATGGTCCTCCCATAGAAAATGGTTTTTATTATGATATGTTCCTTGAGAGTAATGAGTAAGTGTTGGCATATGTTTCTGTGTTACATGGAATGTTTGTCTAATGTGAATATTGATATATTGTATATTAACGAATCAATTTGATTGCATGGACACAACAAATTGTTAATAGTTTTGTCCTTGTTAGGCCAGCTCTTTTGGACTATTATACACTCTACTAAATAAGTAGTTGAACCAAGTGGGAAATGTACTGTGTGTGTCATGGACTTTCATGAGAAGCATTGTCTGAATATAATTTTTCAAGGTAGCGTTAAGTGAGGAAGATGTGTTGTTGTAAATCATCCAAAGGTTTTTATTTGTTGTGTACCAAATTAGACACTCATCCTTTATGGCAGTCTCTCAATGTGGATTTTGTACAAGGTCATGCTACCCACTTGTTGTACAGAACCTGGGTAGCAGAACAGTTTGTTTGATTACATAGCACATTATTAAAGAAGTGCTTCTTTACAGAGGTGTGTCTAGTAATGACTTTCCCTGCCTGGAGAACCTGTGCAAGAAGATCATAAAGGAAAAGCAGCCATTTGAAAGGCTGGAGGTCAAGAAGGAAACGCTGCTTGAAATGTTTAAGGTAAATTCGATGTTTTGCGTGTCCTGCTTACACTTGTCACTGACTTTGCCAAAGAAGGGAACCTTTTCATTCATACCTCATGTTTTTGTTTACTTTATTTTGCAGTATAATGAGTTTAAGCGCAGGATTTTAAATGAGAAGGTACAGACTCCAACTACTACTGTGTACAGGTGGGATGCAGAACAGCTTCTTTTTATTTTAACCTCTTTGCATTTTTTTATTTTATGCACATGACACTGGAGTATGTTTAGCCAAGTCCGCCACAGTATGGCTACACTATATGACTGATGCTTTGTAAGGCTATTTGTTTCTGCATCTGACTATGTGCATTCACACTGTTTGTGGTGATAAAAGAACAAGAAGACTCATTTTGGCTTCCTTCTGTGAGGTTTTACCTGGATTTCTCTCGTATTTAATCAAGTCATAAAGATGTTCAGGATTGTTTCTCCATAGAAAAAAGAAACCTAGTTTGCTTCTTAAGCTTATGAATAATGACATATATGTCCAAAATTTGATTTGTTGGATGAATTGGTCAGTTGGCCAAATGTTTAATTTGTGCCTTAATTTTACAAATTGAACAAGATTTATTAATTTTATTTGTATATCTTAAATCAGGAACTCCATCTAAAACCAAAGAGGATAAAGACCTTTTGCCACCGAATTATGAAGCTGACTAGATGTATCAGTTTAACAAGCAGTCATGATAAATTGCTGGTGAAGTCTGTGTTTGAAATTGAAGAAAGACTTCTCTTTTACCTCTTGCCCTAAGCACTGTTGAGTCAGACAAGGGAGTAGAATAAGTATCTAGCTACAGAGTGCTGGAATATATTTATTTTGTATTCAGTCCTTGAAAGACAAAATAGGCTTTACTAGACTTTTTTCATGCATGTTAAGATAAAACTTAGTCACAGTTAAATGCATCCCTAAACATGTATTATATATTAAAATACTGTATACCGATCACAAATATTTAAATTCTTTATTTGCTATTTGAATAAAAGTTGAGTAATGGATTGAAAGTTTAAGTAATAAATTAGAGAATAAAAAAGAGAATCATTTGTAAAAACCCATAAACAGGTTTTTTCTGATTAATAAATACTTTTGTTTTCCCAGGTGTGGGCCATTAATAGACCTCTGTAGGGGCCCTCACGTGAGACACACTGGAAAAATTAAAACCTTGAAGATACACAAGGTAAGTTTTACTTCTGATTTTTTTAAAATTTAGAATTGAAAGCAGCTTTGCTCTCTCCACGTCCACATCTGTGTTCTCAGCTTCCATTCATTGTGCTGCACTCCAGTACTTCTGGGGAAACCACATATATACATATATAGCAGTCCCTGATGAGCTGCTATATGAACCACTTGCCCTGTTGCTATTGTGAAACTAAATGAAGCAGAATAGTGCCAGCCAGACAGCAGGCATATGGCATAGTCCTATAAGGGCCTTGCAACAAGTTGAAAACCAGTGCTGACACTGGAACAACCAGCCTCAAACAGCCAGAAGCATAGGTTCCTGTTTGTATTACAACATCTTGGGAATACTCTTTGATGTATAACTAAATTTCACAATTGAACCAGTGGGGAAGTGACCGTGTCCTGTTAACAGTGGCTGACCTGCCTTTCTCAGTGGACTTGGTTAGAATTGGTTTAGGCTTCAGGACAATGAAACACCTGTTCTGAGCAACCAAATATGGATCACTGAAATCTTTTTGTATCCTGTGAAAAAATTGCCAAAAACCAATGACACAGACATGTATTTTTTTTCCCCCCAATTTCTATATTTCAGGATTTAATGATATCATGCAGTGCTTTAGTATGAAAAAAATCAGCCCACTCACATCCCTTTTTAGGTCTGCAAAGTGGGAATGTAAGAATTCTGTTATGCTGGGCCAGTGGGAGCCAATCTGTCAGGTACTTTGTGCTTCAAGCCTGCAGAGGTCAATATGAGACTCCCATGTTGATTCCAGCAGGATACAGCAGCTAAAAGAACCTTCTCTCCCAGTGTGAATTCTACATAATTGAACTCCTAAACCATCTAATTGATCTCTGAAAAGCACTGGAGGCAAAGAAACAAATTGCTCGTGCACAAACCACAGTGAGGAGTCACAGGGATCAAGCCACAGCGAACTTTGTTACACCCGTTGTTATAATGGCTCTTGCATTATAAAAAGCTTGTTACCTTGAGGATATGCTTCTGCACCTGTTTTAAGCCCTCTGACTAGAACGCTTTTAAACACAGAAAAATCCTTAAAATGTTTTTTTTCTTAAAATGCTTTTCATTCGTGGACGGGAGGGGGGGGGGAGATGTATTGAGGTATGTGATTCATTTCTCTTCCACCTTGTTTCAGAACTCCTCTACATACTGGGAAGGAAAAGCAGATATGGAAACTCTGCAGAGGATTTATGGGATTTCCTTTCCAGACCCCAAGATGCTGAAGGAATGGGAGAGGTTTCAAGAGGAGGCTAAAAATCGAGATCACAGGAAATTGGGCAGGGTAGGTGAGAGGACACTCTGGTAATAGAAGCTGTACATTGTCAACATGAGCCCAATCACATGGGAACCACAAACAAAATCCTCGGATATAAAGTTAAAAGCAGATCGTATAGTAATCAAGGGGTTTATTCAGATAAAGGATTATTCAGATACATCACCCAGAGGGTTGTAGAAAGAAGCAACCTAGCTGTGTTGTTGAAGTAATTTTCCTGGCTTCTTTCAAGAAATGGCTGGATGAGGTCCTTGGATCGATTAACAACTAAGTACCATATAGGCAAAACAGGCCAAATGGCATATTCTTGTTTGTAACCTTTCTATATTCTTAACCGATGGAAATAAGTTTCCCAAGTGTTAATTGGAAGCTTGTTATTGGCTGCTTTTCTGCAAATTTAAAACAGCTTGCTTAAATCACTAGCTGCACTAACTGAACTTCGATTTATTTACTTGCTACAGGAATTTTATTAGATTAATGTTCAGATTAAGCATTCCTTGAAAGCTTTTTTCTAGTAGGTAGCAACCAAAATCCTTTTTTTCATAGGGAAAGCTGTTTTAAAGTACAGAGTTTAAATGACTGGTACTGTAGGTTAAGATTTGGAGTTTAATCTAGGCCTAAATCAGGACTAAAGACAGCTTTATCTTACTTGTGTCACTTGACTTTGAAAATTGAAATTCTTCTTAATGGGGGGACTAATGGTGATTCATGAATTCCTGTATTTTTAAAGCTAGCCAGCATCAGTCTTCTAGAAAGTCACATGCATTTCATCACTCAAGTTATTTTTCTTTAAAGTTTTAAGTTAAATGTATGTATGCACTAATGTTATCAGCAGATCCTAGAAACAAAAGTGATCGGTTTTGGAAAAAAGTTAGAGCAAGAACTCTGTGGTGCTCTAATAATTTTCTATGCTAAACCAGATCGGGTCTTCCTTGATCTTTTGACATAATGTGCATGAGGATGGTTACAAATTCAGGAGCATCAATGCCCATAATGTAAGCAGAATGATTAATCAACCTGTTTAAATTTGACATCATTAATGATACCATCTGCTACTGCTTGTTGAAAGGCGCTATGCTTTCTATAATAGGAATAGCTTCATAAATGAGGCCATGTGTTCTTCTCACAGGAACAAGAGCTCTTTTTCTTCCATGACCTAAGCCCTGGGAGCTGCTTCTTCTTGCCAAAAGGAGCCTATATCTATAACACTCTAATTGAATTTATCAGGGTAAGTAGCAGTTTTCAGTTGGTCACAATTAATTACTTGGAGGGAGGGGAGTGAATTCTGGGTGCTCCCCAGGTTAACAGTACAGTAGTTTATGAGGTCTGGTGCCCTTTGGCTATACATTCACCAATTAAGCTGCATTGCTGCTGCACATGAGAGAAGACAAAAGATTAGCAAGCTTTACTATGCCTTGGAAGAAGAGTCTGTTTTACAACTTTTATTTTTAATAACCACTGGAGTGTGCAAGATAGTTTTCTTTTTGTTTGTGTATTATGAATGGGGAAGTTACCTACAGTATGTAAGGGGTTACTTATTAAGCTACTAAGAAGAAAAGGGAAATTACTTTTAGGATGGAATGTATTAGTTTACATAGGAACTGTACACACACCATGAAGACCACTGTAACTTGGGACTTATTAGAGTAATTTTCCCTCACATTCTTAATTTTAAGAAGAAGATTGCTTTTAAAAGTATCTTTCCCAAAATATGTTACTGATTTAGATTTAAATGTTTTTAAAATGCTCTTAACTGTAATTTCACATCTGAAAGTTCAAAGAAAATGTGCACTTTTTAGCTACACGCATTGCAAGCATTATTTATTCAACAACTCCTTCAAATCAAGGTAAACCCAGAAAGTGTGAAATTTCAATAGCGCAATACACAATTTGGAAAGAAATTGATACAGTACAAATGCCACAAAATACAGTGACCAGTTCATAATACAAAACTACAGCCTACAGCTAGGATTGCGAGTCTTGGTCCTGAAAGTCCACACATTTGATTTTTGTTTTATTTGAGCTCTTTACTTTGAGTTCTAAATTTAACTCTTTATTAAACATCAGAGTGCTTGATCGGGACTTTTACATTTGCATTGTTTCCTTAAGAGTTATGTTGATTTTCAAGTGTATATGTAACACAATAGAGGTAGCATGATGTTGCAGCGCAGTGTCAGCACTTCAGAGCTCCTGGGTCCTATTTTTAAATTTGACTCTGGGACAATTTGTATGTTTTTCCCAAGTTCACATGAGCTTCCTCTAGGCACTCCAGTTCCCTCCTATAGTCCAGAGATGTACTGTCCTGGTCAAAGGTTTAATTGATGTCCATAAATTGCCCTCTGTATGCGTGAATTGATGTGTGTGCATTGTGATGGATTGACATTTTAACTTGTGTCCTGTGACTGCAGAGATCGACTCTAGGAATAACCTAGGAATACAGTGGTTTCTTAAACTGGATGTATAGATTAAATAGAAGGGTAAGAAAGGCAACGTTCAAAATAGGTTTAAGAGCCGATTACAGAGTTCATATTAATCCTGTTATCAGATCAGGTTGGGGTTCAGGTATTTAACAAAGAGCTGGATAAAAAAACAGAAGATTTTCTCCAAGAGAAAGATTGTCTGCCCCAAGTTCACAGTAGGTGATGCAAAAGTAATACTAAGAATGTTCCAGTAAGGCATAAGTCTAGTTAAGTTCTGAACACAGGTTTTATCTTCTTTTACCATTATTCTGTGTCAGGATATTCCTTTTTCGCTTGGTGTTCTTAACGGAAGACTCAAATCTCTGCCTGTCCAGGAGGGATTTGGAGGGTTTTATCTCTAAGGGTGAGGGAGTATAGGGGAGAGCTTATGTTATTCTTGTTTTATTTGATGATTGAAAATTATACAAAAAATAAAAGGATTTGACATTAAAAGGTAAATCACAGATTGTAAAGGTCTAAAAGTTATTTATCTACTGCCTTGCATTTGAAAACAAATGAATTAATTAATTGTATATTCTCAATACTTTTAGACTTGTGCATTTTAATAAATGGTATTGTAAACATAGGGCATGTTATAAGTGGTGATGGTTATTTTTCCTGTCCTGTTTTTCTTCTTATCTGTTTGGAACCCTGTTTCATGATAGGCTTGTTTATTAGAATTTCACTAGTCCAGTTGGACATCTTTTTAATAGGAATAACAGGCTTTAAGAAAGTTAAGCTTTGTGTTCGTGTCAAGAGGAAATTGGACCAAAACAAGATATTCCTTGAGAAATGCTGAATAGAACAAATTCCTTAAATTTACAGTATTTCTTAATTTTGCCCTCCCTTTTCTCTCATTGCAGAGCGAGTACCGAAAGAGAGGCTTCCAGGAGGTGGTGACCCCAAATATTTACAACAGCAAACTGTGGCAAACCTCCGGCCACTGGGACCATTACAGCGACAACATGTTCTCCTTTGAGGTGGAGAAGGAGATCTTTGCCCTCAAGCCCATGAACTGTCCAGGCCACTGGTAACCCAACTGCAAACAATGCAGTGTAATGTTTAAACCATATCCGTTATTAAGCAGAGTCTGTTGGTGCTATCAACAGGATACCAGTGTCAAAAAGCCATGATTTTTAAACTGTATAAGAAAAATAAGGGATGAGTATAAAAATAAATTACTTTGAAAGCAGATTAGTTTCAGCATTACTGAAGGATTTGGTTTAGTGAAGCGTTTTGTCAGGGTAAAATTTCAGTGCATTTAAAAAGCATATAGACTGTGGGGAGGCAAACCAGCAGGTTGGCTCTAGGCTTTTTTTATATCGGCATCATCTAAAGAACTCGGATCATTCAACACTTTCTCCATATAAACCAATAAGTAGATGAATTAGGTTAAAGAACTTAGATGTCTACCAGAATATAGTGATAGACCATGAAA